TAAACCTGAAGACTTGAAAGCCTTAAAGCCCTAAACCTAAAGACATCAACCTAAAGGCTTGAAGCCCTAAACCTAGTGCCTTAAAGCCCTAAACCCAAAGACATAAAACCCTAAACCTAAATACTTACAGCCCTAAACCTAAAGCCTTAAACATAAAGACTCAAAGTTCTAAACCTAAAGACTCAAAGTTCTAAACCTAAAGACTCTAAACTCTAAATCTAAACCCTCAAAGCCCTAAACCCAAGTTCTTAAAGCTCTAAACCTAAAGCCTTAAAGCCCTAACTAATTTCTAAACCTAACGACTTCAAACCCTAAATCTAAACCCTCAAAGCTCTGACTAAGTTATAAACCTAAAGACTTATAACCCTAAACCTAAAGTTTCAAAACCCTAAACCTAAAGACTTAAATTCTTAAGCCCTAAAGTTAAACCCCACCAACCCACCTTCATCGAAATCCAGCCCTAGATCGGGGTACACAATCTCGCCGTCCTCATCCACTATGAATGAGTCGTTGCTATGCAGCGACATCATCTCATCCTGCATTTGTAGTTCCATCTTTTCGGCCAACAATTCCTTTTCGCTGAGCATAGTCTTTTCCTCGACCGTCTTCTCCTTCTGCTTGGCTATTTCATCGTCACCTGATATATGGAGGTTTGGGTACAAACAGATTGCGAATCGAATGTTTTAAATAGGTGTCGCAAATTACCAAAATAAAAATATGATGTAGAGATATTTGGCTACACAGATACACATACATGCATTATACATACATACATACATACATATACCTACATACATACATACATATATATATATATATATATTTAACACACACATACACATGCACTGGTAAAAAGAATATTTTTTTACGTCTATCCAACCTCCATATGCATTTACGAACGGATTGCACACGTACACAGAGATAGCGCATACCTTTCAGCTTGTTTAAGATGCCGAAGGCGTTCTGATATCGAATACGCTCCGAAGTCGCATTCTGTTCGTCAACATCTGTGCGAAGATTAAAAGAAGAAAACAATACATTAGAAACGATTTTGTCAATAATATAGGTAAAACAGTTTTTTATGTAGGTGAAATGTATATTATCAAGTCCTAATATAAATACTAAAAGAATTTTTTATTTCAATGCAAGGTTGTTGTACACTTGTCATTCAGCTCAGAGACGTAACTTGTAGACCTAGCTTCGGTGAAAGACTCGGCGCAAGACCAAGACATGCATATGTACTAAACAGCCAGCAGTACACGCACATGGGACGGATACCTGACAATAAATATATAAAAAATGTATCGTGCTATATATATATATATATATATATATTACACGCACACACACACTCACACACACACATCTATATATATATAAATATATATATATAATATGCATCTGGCCCTACTTGTAAACATACAGCTACCTACCGCTTGTGTTGGGGGCACCTTCGGCAGAACCGGATCCTTTGGCTGTTAATTGCTGCAGTGTATCGACGACAACAGAGCGGTCTCCCACTACACCCACCAGATCACAACGGTCGAGCAATCTGGAGTGCAGGATAGGATGTGTTTGGAGGAACTAAATAGGCTAAGACCTGCAATCTATAAATATACTGATATCGTATGGATATATACCGGAGGATTTAATACTATACCCACTAGACTACAACGGTCGAGCCATCTGAAGTGTATGAGTTGATATGATTGGTAGCTATTAATAGATTGATTGAAGAAATCTTTGGGACCTATCCTCATCATACAAAGCCATACTCCAGACATACGTAGGTCATAGGTTGATCAGATACGCTCTGAGGTACATGCATGTCATTTATAAATGATTTATAAACATCATTTATAAACGATTTATAAACATCATTTATAAATGATTTATAAACATCGTTTATAAATGATGTATAAACATCATTTATAAATGATTTATAAACATCATTTATAAATGATTTATAAACATCATTTATAAACGATTTATAAACATCATTTATAAATGATTTATAAACATCATTTATAAATGATGTATAAACATCACTTATACATCTCAAGTACATACCCACACTCGCGTCATGTCGCTTATATCGAGCGTTAAACCACACTTGGTTGCAAACCCAATCAGTCACACCAGATATATATATATAAATGAGCAAAGCATACCTGGTGAAGTTAGTAGTAAAGACGACAGTTCGGTCCTTCATCAGCTTGAGGAAGCATTCGTTAAACACGTGCGCACCCACGTGGTAGTCCAATGCGCTGAATGGATCGTCCATGAGCACCAGACGTGTCGAACTGTACGCCGCCCGTGCAATTCCGATACGTTGCTTCTGTCCACCTGATATATGAGTATATACATAAATATATGAGTGTCGATGTATATATATATATACACACACACACATATATATATATATATACATATATACATATATATATATACATATATACACACACACACACACATATATATA